AGTTTGCTTAGGATAATGTTCTCTAGCACTGTCTATGTTGCTGCAAAGGACATGGCCTCATTCTTTTTTATGGCTGCATAGTATTCCATAACATATATACACCACATTTTTTTATCCACTTTATCTTTGGTGGGCATAAATATTTATTCGATGTCTGCTATTGTGAATAGTGCTGCATTGAACATACACATACATGTATCATTATAACAGAACAATTTATATTTCTTTGGGTATATACTCAATAACTGGATTGCTGTGTCAAGTGATAATTCTAAGTTCTTTGAGGAATTTCCAAACTGCTTTCCATAATGGCCGAACTACCTTGCAGTCCCACCAACAGTGTATAAGCATTCCTTTTTTTCTGCAACCTTGCCAGCATCTGTTATTTTTTGACTTTTTAATAGTAGTCATTCTGACTGGTGTAAGATGGTATCTTATTGTGGTTTTGATTTTTATTTCTGTAATGATTAGCGTTGTTGAGCTTTTTTCATATGAAAACTCAAATTTGTTATTCTATGTAATATACGACGAGGCTGCCTGTATCGGTCAGGGTCCAATCAGGAGACAGAAACCCCATTAGCAACTTGAATAAGGAAAAGCTAATATAAAGAAATATTAACTGGTAAAGAGGGATTTAACTACTAAAGATGTAAGAATGAAGGAATTCAATGTTACAAAAGTAGCAACCACAGAATGCAGCTACTGCCTACAGAGCTGAGGAAGAGAGTACCAAGCAGGTACTTACACCTTTAGAAGAGTTCCACACATGTACAAACACACTCATACCACCACTCGTGTCCTCAGACATTTCTGGAGAGGTTGTGGCTGCCACTGGAACTCTGCTGGTGACAGAGAAATTTACTAAATAGAGCATGGAGGTCCCAGAGTGAATGAGCCACAGCTAGTTTTTTGGTGTGGCCCCTGAATGGCAGAGAGTCTTGTCAGAGGGTATGGGCTACAGCTGAGCAAGAGGTGAAGAGTATCAGGACCCTCACATACCAAACTTCTATGTGCCAGATAGAAAATAGCATGATGGAAAGTGGAGGCAAAGTTTCTTTCTCATCTTCTGGATTTGCAGTGTCCCTCTGGCCCCTTCAATTGGCAAAGTCTAACATCAAGTCAGCTGACAAAAGAGAAACGTCTACAGCATGCAGCTTTGGTAATACAAGGAATGATAAAGAAGAATAGATTTGGAGATGAGAGGCAATAAATTAATAACTGGCATGCTGGCACTTCCCCATACTTGGTTGTTGAAAACTGATACAGTTAAAAACTGTATAAAGTCACATATTTATAATGGAGTCACAAATCATAACCTCTTGTATTATTTTTCTAAATTTAGTTATCTACTATGGCATTCTACCTTAGGAGTATAAACCAAGAAATTACACTGGTGGCATTATTTATGAGTTTAACTTTTTATATATAGAGAAAATGTATAAATTTTAAGTGCATAACTAACTCAATGAATTTTTACAAATCTATTCACTCATGTAAACACCACCATAAGGCAAGATAGAGTTTATTAGCAGCACCCCGAAGGCCTCATTCTTGTTCCTCCCAAGAAATAATTATCAGTTTTTAAAAATGTTTCCTTAAAAATCTTTACCTGTTTCCTTACATGTTTTACTTAGTACAACTAAGTACAAAGAAAAATAATGCACTATTTTGATGAGGAGAAGAAAGCACAAAGCTACTTTTTAAATTTAAGAATTATTTAACATTCTATTTAACATCAAAGCTGTCTATAGAAACTACTGTATTGCCGACCATAATTAGCAATTTCTTTCTCATTCCCGAGGAAGAAGACAAATATAAAGAGCATACAGAACTTCAAATATCTTGGCATTAGTGATGGAGATGGAATGCAAATGTTGAGAATAAACTATTTTCTGCTAACTGTCCCATAACTGAGAAAATGCGACATGTATGCAATACAAACAAATCGCAACACCAAATCCAGCAACAATTTGGAAACCTAAGGAAGCAATTTAAATACATATAAAGACAAAATTTTAAATACATAATATATTGTTTCTTCAAAACTCATAGCATTTAACATACTAACAAATATGAAATATGTTTTTGCTATATCATTTTGAAGTAGTGAAAGGAAAGTAATACACTGAATAGAAAAAGTAGGGATTTTTTTTTCTTACTATATTTTAAGATGACATATGTATTTCAGAATTATTGACACTTTAAAATTAAATGATTTTGACCAGTTATTCAATTTGGACTCAGTAATCCAAGAGGCTCAAAAAATTGGAGCCCCTAATTTCTTTTAGCTTTGTGTGTTTCTACATTTCTGAAAATCTATTTTAATATTTTACAATATTATTTACATATAAATTTAAAAATGAAGCATCATATTGAAGGTTGATATATTAAATAAATTACTTTTTTTCCTACTAGCTTTCCATTACAAGTCAAAAGTCTTTGAACTTATGATTTGGCTCCATAGCCCAAAGGTTGTAAATGCTTTTCCAGAAGGTTTTCAAATTTTTTTTTAATGCCTGCCTTTTTTACTGGATTCAGTTCAAAATTTCTAATGAGAAGCATACTTTAAATAGCCTTGATGCCACATTTTTAATATGTTATTTTATTTTATTGCTCTTCCCAACTGAGAACACTTATAATCAACATATTTTTAAGAGTTTTATATTGGTAATATTTTGTTGGTTCTTTGTTTCCTGTTATAATGGGCTTCCAAGGAGTAAGCAAATTTGCAGATTTCCCAAATAAACACATCCATGTTGGGCAGTGTGGTATGAGGGAGGTTCGTGAAAGTAAGTAAACGCTTTCCGCGATACCACTTTGTTGCATAGAAAATGAAGAAGATTGCCAATGAGTTTATTTTAGGGAGAAAACTAGCTTGAAATAAAACACAAATTTATTATGTAAACCATGTTTTCTTCTTAATTATGTTTGATTTTGGAGTAGCTTCTGCATTTATATATGAGGAAATGATGTCAGGAACTGACCTCTTATGTGTCGAAGTTGAAGGTTATCACATACAAAATTATTAACTTTTTCTGACTTATATATTCACTTAAAATTGTTCTAATAAATTAAATCTCCGTAGAGTTTCAGTAAATGCACGTTTAAGGTGGGTAACATAAACAATGCTATATTTAAAGTTTAGCAGTCTCGAGCATAACACAAATCCATGCTACTATTTCCTTCATCCTTGCTTAAGAATGATATTTGGTCACCACTCCTACACAGATAGCTCAGTTATTCACCCTGAGCTCTGGTCTCTTCTGTCCATCTGCCATCTATTTATTATTATTATTCCAGGTTCTTTCCTCTTCCTTCCTTCCTCCTCACCCACTCAACCAACCACCCACTGAAATCCTGAGTTCTGTTCTTCAGTAGTTTCTCAAGATTAGTACTTTCCCGCTCTTCCCTTCAGAAATACTTTGGCATGCTTATTGCTCCTCAGAGACTGCTTGCTCACCTTAGCTCTACAACCATTCCTCAGCCCCTACTTATCCCTACAGAGGTTCAGTCCTAGATTCGTTCCTCACTCTTCCATTTCCCTTTCTATAACAAAACATTTCTTTGGAAGTGCAGCCAAGAATCCCAAAAAGCAAATTCAGTGAACCAGTGCAGTAAGACAGCTTTTGCAGATGAGAAATTTTGCAAAACTATGGTAACAGTGAAGTGCATATGGTCAGTGCCTAGCTGATTACATTTTCATTTGTAATGTGGAAGTACTGCCAACAAATTGAATGAAGCTTACTATGACAGAACACATCACTTAGAATTCCACACTGTTGCAAAGCACTTCTGAATGACCCTCGATAATTGTGCTGTGAAGTTTGATATTGTGTACATCTTTAGACTCTATCAAGTGCATGCCATAATAACAATAATAGAAGACAACACACTAAAAAACAATGCTGCTATAAACATGCATGTGCAAGTATCTTTTTCATATAATGACTTCTTTTTCCCTTGGTAAAGAAGGAAAAGTAGATCCACCATTTAATCCAGAAATCCCAATGGAATCCAGTGAGAATCCAGTAATTCCAGTGGGATTCCTGGATCAACTGGCAGATCAAACAGTGAATCTACTTTTCCTTCTTTAAGGAATCTCCACACTGTTTTCCATAGTGGTTGTACTAGTTTACCTTCCTGCCAACAGTGTAAATGTATTCCCTTTTCACCACAAAAATATGGAACCAGGCCAAATGTCCATCAAGCAATGAGTGGATAAAGAAAATGTGGTATATATTTACCATGGAATACCACTCAGCCGTAAAGACGAAGGAAATAATGACATTCACAGCAACCCAGATGGAAATGGAGACTATTATTCTAAGTGAAGTAACTCAGGAATGGAAAACCAACATCATATGTTCTCACTCATGTGGGAGCTGAACTAAGAGGACGCAAAGGCATAAGAATGATACGCTGGAATTTAGGGAGTCGGGGGAAAGGGTGGGGGGTGGTGGCAAGGGATAAAAGACTACACATTGTGTACAGTGTACACTGCTTTGGTGATGGATGCACCAGAATCTCAGAAATCAAAACTAAAGAACTTATTCATGTAAACAAACACTACCTGTTCCCCCAAAAACTATTGAAATAAAAAATTAAAAACAAACAAAAACCGTCTCATCCCCAACAGCCAAATGTAATGGATGGACCTTGTTTGGATTCTGACTGCTACCCCCATAAAAATTAAATTTTTTATTAAAAACCAGATGATAAATGATAAAAGGCAATGCTATAGCCATAATTTTCTAAACTTTTTTAAAATTAGAAAGAAGTGAAAAAATGTACTTCCAATCATTTCATATCATTTTAAAAATATGGTTTCAGATTTTCACCACTTAAATTGCAAAGTGAACCTTCACTATTAACTTTGATATCCTGTAAAATATACTATTTTATTACTATATTTATCCATTTAATAAATATTTACTGAATATGTACTATGTACCAAACACAGTTCAACATAAATTAACAAAAAGTCGTCATCTGCAACTTACCATGAGCCATACGATGGAACCAGTAGTAGCCAAAGTCAACTCCTAAGAAGGTTAAATACCAAGTCCATGGAGAATCCCAAGGCAAATTGAACAGCCTGTAGTTCTCCCAGATATAAATATAACTGGTCAGTTCAACACTCCTGAAAAATAGACTGGAAGACAAAATTCACAAGCAGTGATTATATAACATTTTAGAAATAAAATTATGCTCAATTATTTTAGATAATATTTAAAATTAATATATTTATATGAAAAAATGAAACTCTTCTACTTTGTTTCATCTCTATCATTCTTTCTAAAGGGTCAAATTCCTTCATATCAAAATGATTCACATGAAATTTTATTTTATTTCATAGGCATCACGGATGCCAGCTGTTTGTGCTCTCAATTTCATGAAATTTAAAAGACCGTTTCCTTTTTATGTATCTTAAAATATTTTTCATGGAACCCATACAACATCAATATGACAAGACTACAACTTAGTTTCTGTGACTGTCATTTCTAAATCTTACTGAAGAATATATTAAGGATGCTTTATAAAGGAAATTTAAAAGGCAGAAAATTATAGATGCCCATATTTTAAAGTGCTGCAAATTGCATACTGCTTTCGAATTTTTGATCTCATAAAATTTGCCTTTATGTTAAAGTTGCTTCTGTCTAAATCAATTCTGTCTCTTCTCCTTTTCCTCCTTCCTTTTTATTCTATCTTACACACACACACACGCAAGAACACACACACATCCCTTTAATGTTTCTTACATGTTATACTTATCATCAGGTATTGGATTCTCAGAGCATTTCTATAGTTCTTATAAGTAATATAAACTAGGGTTTTCAAAATATTAGGGAAAATATTTCCTTAGAAATCAGGTATACAAACCGAATCAAAATAAACAATTGTTTCTAAAACTCATACACTAAAATATATTAAGCCACCTATTTATCAAGCATCTATAAATTCTTATTTTTACTTTCAAAACCCTATAAAATATACCTTCATTTTAGGAAGGATTTTTTTTTCAAGTTTAATATGATCAAATTTAAGATTAGATTCTAGATGATTTGTTTTGTCACTTTTATAAGTTTTACTGAGTTAACTTTTCCTTTCATATTCATTATTAAAATATAAAAGGAATTAATTATTCTGGTTAATAAAGGTATATGTAAAAGTCATCAACAAGTTTGGTGCTCAAAATTCTGAGACATTTCTTAAATATTCTAATTTTAGATAAGAGTGGAAGAAGTAGTGCAGATGATTACACTACTAAAATTTTTTATTTTTAGAGTATTTCCCTTTACAGAGTCAGTTTCAATGAATTAGCATACTGAGTCTTTCAAAGATCCAGCCCTTTGACTTTATTCTTGAATTTAATATCATATGACTTTGACTGTGATTTAATAGCTTTAAAAAAAGCTCTTATACTTTAATATTTCAAGTTATTATTTCACCCATAAAACAGAACACTAGGCTATAACAGCATAAATATACTTAACTAAGAGAAATGCCAAAGGCTTACGATTTCAGAAAAGAGTTCACATCACCACACATTAAAAACTCAATTTCCAATTTGAGATTACATGGTTGGAAGAAGCAGTTTTGTCTGTGAGTTCCAGTCCTTGACTCTAAGGAATTGCTCATCCTGGACTCCTACCACAATGCCAATTTGAGTGATACTCTGAATACTGTAGAATCCACCGTTGCAGCAGCCCTGAGCCTGCTCGAGCCTCTTTTCTGAGCCATTCTTTCTGAGGACAGACCTCTGCAAGTGTGCAAACCCCGCAACCTGACAGGGTGGCCAAGGGTGGCTATTTGGGAGCATATAGACAGAGCTGGAACAAGGAGTCTGCGATGTCCGCACACAGGTACGTGAGGTCCCTCCAGGGGCAGGACAAGTCATGAGCCAAGGGCTCCCACACTGTTGCAGAAACTCCAAGGAATATATGAAATGAACATTTAAAACCTGCCTTCCAAGTTTTTATGAAGGTATATTAGTCAAAGTAGAAGTTGGAAACAATTCTACTGTAAAGCTTGTTAGCTTGGTGGGTTACTTTCACATGTTTAGATGAAGGCTTCACAACAGTGCCACTGTTGACATTTGGATAGGATAATCCTTTTTTGGAAGAGGCTTTTGTGTGGAAACATTTACTGAAACTATGAAATCTTAAAATTGCTCACTATTGTTCATTAGTAGGGGTTACCCATATAAAATTCAAGTTTTAGGTTAAAAATGGCAAATAATATCAATTTTATATGCTTCAATCTACCAATTTCTCTAAAACAGGAATTCTTAATCTTAACACTATTGTCATTTTGGGCCAAGTAATTTTTTGTTTTGAGGGCCTTTCCTGTGCATCATAGAATGCATTCCAGCATTGCTGTTGTCTAGCAACTAGATTTAGGAGCACTCCTTCTCACCCCAGCTATGACTACAAAAAATGTCCCCAGATATTTCCAAGTGTTTTTTTGGGGAGCAAAATTTTCCCCAGTTGAAAACCTCTGCCTAAAAACAACTGAACCAGAAAGAAAGATTAAAACAAAATTGAGTAGAAAGTTGAAGTCGTCTATAGCTTCATAGCTGAAGTATTAGCACATGATATCAAAGCAGGTTCATCCATGGATTTAGGCAGTCATTCAATGAATTCGTATGAAGAGCCTACTAAGTGCTAGGCATAGCACAAGACACAGGAACACACTATTAAATGGGCAAACACCACCAGCCTTATATAAATGTTCCCTCAGTTTAATATTTTTTTAAAAAATATGTTGTCTTCCTTGTCAGTTCCAGTAACAATTGAAATGGGCCTTGAGATACTTCGATTTGTATAAAATAATAATAATAAATAAAAATTCTAAAATATCTGTCTGCAATTGAAATACTTTTCTATTTCCTGTGCAGGTGCCAGGTCTTGAGCAGACACCCAATTTATTAGTCCATCAACTGACTTATTAGGGTTGACACAAATGGAGCTGAAATATGCCTGACACACTACCGTCAAGCCTTCCCCCAACTCCAACCCACACACATTAGCATGAAGCCTAAATTTCCTCAAGACACAAAGAAAGAGAGAAGCAGCTGTGGGAGTTCTATTCCCTGCTTTCTATCAGCAAAATGAATCTGATTCTCTTTTAACACACATGTGAAAGAAGAGCCATGGAATGCCCACAACTAAAAACAATTCACCTAAGTGAGACAGCTGGGAAATGATTATCAAGCTCGGAAAGCCCTGGTTTGCAGAAAATAGCGCCTAGATTTTCAAAAATGTTCTCACCAGACCTTGAATCATAAACCAAAGCGCCTTCCTCTTTCTCTTTTCAGTCCCCCTTACCCCTTCCACCCTGCAATCTCAGCACATGACTCCGCACTCAGGAATTTAAACTCTCTAAACCCCATCCTGTGGGAAGAGACTGATATAATATGCATGTATATAATGAGCTTACTTTATCACACGAAGATGGAATATTGGGTAGGACAGGAGCTTGGAATTCCCAAATACTAGACACCTTTTATGCCTTAAGTTTGAATGTAAGACCAGGAAAGTGATCTAAACATAAAGAGACATTAAAATCCTCTAATCAGCAACCTACATATAGAGAGGCTTTCCTCCCATGGTCCTATTTTCTTCATGAATTCCCCCAAACAGCAGTTTTCTCTTGTGTTTGAAGTATATGTTTCAGCAAATGAAAAGTAGCTTACTTCTTTAGCTAGTGAACTGATTATGTATTTTACATAACATTTTTTCTCATCACGAGAAATTTGTCAATGTTCAGTTACTGTAAAAAAGCTACATTACTACATTACTATTTAGTATTAATCCTTGGTTTTTTACAAAATAAAGTTCAGTTTCAATGTTGAGATTAAAAAATAATCAATAAATTAGAAATAAATGTTATTTGGGGATTGAGAATTAGAAACTAATGAGTTTTCAAAGTCATCTCCATCTGAATCTACCCATCACGAGGGATAGAAGTGTGACAGTGGGCATGACATTCACCCTTTCAGCATCTCAGTGCTAATTTAAGGTCTGAGACTATTAGGGTGAATGAGCCCTAAAATGACTCTCATGTTGTTGTCATTAAGAAAGCCAGTAACATTTGATGTAATGCTCTCATTGCAAACTTCTGAAATATCAAAGCACATTTCAGAATAAGTAGACTTATGTACCATACTCATAGGAATCTGCCACTTTATATTATTCCATAACTGTCATTATAGCTGAGTGTTCTGATTTGGCCAGATTATGATAAACTAAAAAAAATGGATATTTTTATTTCTAATAATCTTGTTTCATGAGTCAGAAAATATTTAAACAAGATTACTACAAATATCCTTAAAACTCCAAGAAGTTAAAAATTAATTAATATATTAGATCTTGTGTGTGTGTGTATGTGTGTGTGTGGTGTGTGTGTGTGTGTGTGTATGTAGAGAGAGTGAGAGAGAGATTTTTCTGAGAAATTTTGTTACTTATTTACTTCAAAATCTCTTCAGCTGGATCCAGGAGTTTGCACTGTCCATCTGTAAAGCTACTGCCACTTTTGCTCCATCTAGTGGAATATTGATTTTTGCTTGGTAATAATAAGACAGATAATATTACCTTTACCATCTGCAAACAGATAAAGTGTGTACTACTAATTCTTACTGTGAAATAGTATTACATTTATAAAACAATCACTTAATTTCTTCTTAACAGTAACCATAAAGCCATAAACCTTTATAAACACAATGTGAGAGATTTGGAAGAAAGGAATTTGCTATATTCTTTACTTTACAGGAAATATATTACTCGATTGAATAAGCACTCAAATCCAGACCAATAAGCAATGAAACTTGCATTCACCAGGGAAAGTTCTTCTAACAGCAGTTTCTGAAGTTACATAATTAATAACAAAGACAAAGTCTATTTATTAGTTTTCTAATGCAAATTATAAGAGGAAATGAGATTCTCTCAAACATAGTTAACAAACCAACAAGTAATTAAAATTTATTTTCCTTTCATGAGGATTTTTAATAATTATTTCTAGGTTAATACAAATTTAGTATTAATAAGGTATTATTAACATTTCATAGATTCATTTATCTCTTCTTTTGGACAATGAATTGCTGCTTATTAAAGTCATCATCCAAAACGATAAACTTTCGTTTGTTAGGGCTGATTTGCCAAGGCAACATTTAGCTTCTCATGCTAAAGCCCCTGGCATAAAAACCCAGTATACAATTTTTCTTTATTCTCTGGCCCCACCCCAAGGAGTCAGAAGTATTTCAGAGAAGTTTAATTTCCTCCTTTTTAATTTTTTTTTTTTTGGATGAATTGAAACTTTCTTGTCAGGAATGGAAAATTCCATAGCAGGCATGGTCAGTAAAAGTATGCATATATATGGCTAAACATTGTGGAGCTAGCTCCACAGTAAATTGGCAGTGACCCATATGTATTAAAAGTGGAGTGTCCCCAACTTTATTTGAAAATTTACCTACTTAAATTATCCCTCTAACTTACTGCAATTTGATTTATAATCTGCTGTTTCAACAGAATAAATGAACCCATTAAAAACAAACATACTGTAGATATTTATATCAGGAATAAAACTTCTCTGGGGAGGATGCAATTTATGGAAGCAGAAACATTGGAAGGAAGTAACAAATGAACTCCCGGTTTTCTAAGGAAGGATTGGAAATTGAGTTCTACTTAAACAAGCAGGAAAAAAAATGTGATTATTTTTCACTCATTAACATTCAAGTCAGTAGCTGGATATTTCACAAGTTTTAGATATGTATGCTTAAAAAATAGATTTGGTAAATATTTTGTTAAAACAAGATTAATTTTTTTACAGTTACACATGATGCTAATTGTTAGAAAGGCAGATTATCTGCACGATACACTGTGTTTAACTAGAATAAATAGACATATCTGTTTGTAACTTTGACCAGTATCTGACTAGGAAGGCTGCCTACTGGATTTCAGAAGAGCAAAACAGATGCAAGCCTGCCCAGAATCTGGTTCTTAGGGCAGTGGACTTTTATTACAGATCATGGTCTGTCTAACAGGCTTGTAAACAAGATATAATCTTGTCCGTGGTTAATATTTTCCTTGACATAAAGATTTGAAATAGGTAGCATGTGTCTTTTCTATCAACATGGTACATATGCCATTAATCTTTAAGACATCTGAAATTTTATGTAATCCTGAAATTATCCTCAAAAAACATTGTTTTTCTTCAAAGTCTGCGTACAACATTTCTATTACATGAATGGCAAAGTGGAAAACGTGTTTGCTTTGATTTCCACTTCTTTTTTCCGAGGCCACATGCTTATTTGGAATTGTTATCCAAAGCATAATTCTTCACAAACGAATGAGCAAAAGACATACTACCATTTTTCTTGCAATCACCTATTTGAAGGACGTGGCAAGCCTCTGTTGCTAGTGTAGAAAATGAAATTGGTCCCTGGGAGAGGATAGGATCATTGCCGTGTTAATCTAACCCTCAGCTGTTAATGATTTGCACAGGGATTCCCCTTGATGCTGCGGCTTCAACTGAAATATTGTTTTAAGAATTGATGTCAAAATCTTCACTTTTTTTTTTTTTAAATACTGAAAGGGGATTGAGAGGAATACATCCATAGGCTTACTTTTTCTTTCCAGTTTATATTTGGGTTTGGAATTTTTTTAAAGCAACAAATGAAATAAAAATATTTTTCACAATATTTCTATACAACAAAACAAAAAAAATTAATTTCATTTTCAGACAATTTGCTTTACTGGAATCTTTCAGACAAGGCTATAAAAGAGAAAATTCTTTGCAAAAGTTAAAAAAATCCATATTTCATCATTTAGAATTGTTCTTTACATCTACAAGGAAAAAAAGAAGTAATTTGCTATTCTCATTTAAAATAACTATAGAAAAATATTCTCCAAATTCAAGTTCATAACCTTTTACCTTTCTCTCAAAGGGCACTAGAGTTAACAGTTTGTGTTTGTTTAAGGAGTGTTATGAGTAGTGGGTGAAGGAAAAGAACCGCATGTTCTATCCCTGAAGGACTGGTTTGTTTTGGTTTCTTTTTTTCCTTCTCTCTCTCTTTCTCTCTCTCCCTCTCCCCCCCCCCACCTTTCTCTCTCCTTTTTCAGATACCTTTTTTGGAAAAATATCTATTTTATCCTTATTTTCATGTTATAACTCTGTACCTTTTAAAAATAACACTGCTGAGCAGAAATATTGTACTGGGGATACAGTTTGTATTTCTGGTACCCACGATGTTATGATAAGAGAACAATCTAATTTCATTTACAACCAAATCAAACTTTAAAAGGTAAAAATAAAAATGCTGAAGAATTCATTCAATTTGCTGTCAAATTCAGTGTCAAAATGCTTAACAAATTCATTCCAATTCACTAAAATGTACAATGTATAATTGGATATGCAGGACAATTCTCAGTTACCAAGTGACTTTTATATTTTATCAATCATCTGATTTCCGTAAACCTATACACAACTTTCTGCGAATGAGCTAAATTAACCAATTAGGTATTTTTAAATAACTAAATCTACATCCAAATCTATATAGACCTTGGATATGTTGAATGTATTTCTTGTTGATTTCTGCCTAAAGGGGACATGTATTATAAGAAAGGAAATTATCTATAATCATAAATTCTTATTCATGATAATCTCCAAATTAGCTGCAAATTTCTGGAGACATTATCTTCCTCTGATTCCAACTGCAAAATGCAACAATTATAAGCAGTTTTTCAAAGTCAGTCTTAGCAATGTTACGTCTACTATATACTTAATAATGCACTTTTCTCAAAATCTTATTCAAAAATAAATACTTTCAGGTTTACTTTGTTTTTAAACTATTTTATGTAATATATGAAATTATTTCACCTTTCTTAGATGTTTAAAGTTTTAATGTTATTTTTTAAAAATCCACCTTAGTTTCCCACTGAGCAGTTAATAGAAACATTCCAAAGCAATGAGCACCAGTCAGAAGTAAAGCTCTTAAAACAGGACAAGCAGCAATGGGTGGGAAGCTGGAATGAGAACATTCATCAGCAGCTCAAAGCACAGACTTCGAACGGAATCTTTCCTCACCCTCTGCCTCTTTGGTAAGCCCATATGCATTGAAGATGACTTCCTTTTATTGGTCTGTCCTCTACATGCATTATAATATACTCTTTCTAAAAAATAGTAGGCCATTTACATCTTACTATCATTTGGTCCCAATATCACCTAATTTTATTGTCAACATAACAGTATAGGGATATCACTGTTTTTTGGACTCTTTACCATGCAATAAACATCATTCCAGGCACAGGAGCTAAAGCTATGAAGAACGCACACCTCTTGCTCTCAAGTTGTGTACAAGCTAGCAGGAAGGGCTGGGAAGAAAAGAGGTGAGCATTGGCGCCATGTGAAAATTCTAGATCTGAGATAAGCACAAAATTCCATGGGACTGTAATGTAGGAATGCCTAACATAAGCTTGGAGAACAGATAAGGCTTGCTGAGGCGTGTGACATCTATGCTTAGGCCTAATAAATGAATCTCAATTGGCCACATGGATGACTTTCCAGGCAGAGGGAAGTACCTGTGGCATGTGGGCAATGGCAAGTAGTAAAGCATGATGGGATAAAGATGACAAAGAGACAGGAGAGTGGAGGACCCAAAAGCAAAGCCAGACAGACCATGTTCTCTATAGTTCAGAACAGGGATTCGTACCTTATACTTGAGTCAATAGGGAACCAGTGAATGGTTTCTACTGGATTCATATTATGGAAATGTTTGGCTGCAAATGGGATTATACTAGAGCCGGACACCAATTAAGAAACCATTGTAGTTATTCAGAGGTTTGTGTGAGCTGCTCTAGGGAGTGTCTACACTCTAGAGAGCTATTCTTTCTGAACCTGGCAGAGGCAAATACAATTTTAATAGAGAACTAGATCATAACTCAGAGCTGGAATCACAATAAGGCAAATGAAACACTCATTTTAAAGGGATATCAACAAAGCCAAGATAAATAATATTTAGGGTAATTTTTAAATGAGTGCAAAAAATCAATGAAGAACAAAATATCAAAATTTTAAATAATAGCATCAACTGAATTCCTTGGGAAAATTTGTGTAAATAGACGAATTCTCCCATGAAGTGGGTTCCTTTGCCCCTCATACGTAGGAAATTTCAGTGTTTTCACTCAGTGTTGTTAAGCCATCTAACTCACCCTGGAAGTCGTGACAGAACACCAGCTGAGACTGATGTTAAAGCATCATCCAAACGACCCGGTGGCTTCCCTTTGCGAATCCAGCTGACAACAAGTTCAAGCAGCATCAAGGAAATGAAAAATGGAGTTGCCTAGAAAGGAAATTGCAGAAAAGAGATGCCATTATGTTCCATATGAAATTATTTTACATTTCCTGATTAGTCATGTCAGAATTGAGAGGCCCAGATTTGGGAAGCCCCGCAGGAGATGGTAGACACCCATTCTAGAAGATTACTTCCTACACAGTAGGCAGAGAAGTCTAACTGTTTTAGATATTCGCTAAATATGTGCTCAAATTATATCATCCAATTTGAATATGAAATATGATCACAGATATAACCATAATTATAAAATTATAAGATTGGGAGGAACATCTTCCAAAATACATTTAAAAATAAATTTAGAATAAGGCAAATAATTAGAAGTCTATTGTCTCTAAATGTATAATCTAGATCCACTTCAAGAGGCTTTCCTTAAAGATGCACAAAATTCTAATTTTTGTGTTAGAATTACATGAACTATATTCCTAATGATGAAATTGAAAGAGTAGAGACAACTTTCTTCTTAGAATTTTAGAAAATATGGTAATTTTAATGTTTGCTTAAAACATGATTCAGATTTTATTCATTTGGTTTTGATTTGTTTCACATAATAAGTGATGTTTTGAAGGCTCCACTATTGATGATGGAGCATTTAATTCGGTTTGGTGTTGCAGTATAAGCAATAATAATTTATGAAGATATCAATGCCACTTTTTCTACTTAAAAATCAGAAAGAAAGTATAATATTTAATCTTGAAAAATATATGGATTTTACTTATTTGGAAGCTAATCATGAGTTTTGAAGCTTTCTAAACTGGATTCTCAATAACATAGTGTGTGATGTCAATTTTGTTTTCTATTTCCCCCATGAACTAGTGACTGTTGGAGGAACAACTTCGATAGGCTGGGGAACTTCAGGATTCAAGTTCTAATTCTGGATATTTCCACTTTCAATCATAGCCAAGAACCAGAAGTGAAATGTACCTCCGACCACTTCAAAGTTTCAAAGAAAACTTGGTTCACATTCAAACTTAGGAAGTCAGAGTTGGACCTGGTCAAGCTGCATATTCTTCATTCTACAGAATTACTCTACCAAATGAAAGAGGAAATAGTTTCATTGGAAGGGGTGGACAAGCTAAAGATTTAAAAATGAAATTGTTACAAACTTTACTGTTATGGTATAACTATTTGACATTGAGCTTCCAACAGCTACATTTACAATGCCACGGAGTCCAGGAAAACGTTAAGATTTTGTTTTTATGATATTCTGGAGTGACATATAAAGGAGGGAATTTACAGGTGAGGATGGTATGGATTGTAAGGAAATTCAATTCAAACAGATATTCTACTTTTGCTTCCTGCCTTTAAGAAACTGAATTATTAGAATTTAATAATTCAAATAATGAAAGTGAACAAAACGCTCAGGAGGTTGACCTTACCATTTCTTAAGAAAGAAGCAAGAGTAAAAGTAGCCTCTTCCAATATAGGCTCACCTTTTTTACATAATCAGGCACCTCTTCTAATGTTTGGAATGAAGTTTCACTGGGCTTCATCATGTAAAACATCACGCGAAATCCCTGGGAAACTGAAACCTCCTGTTGGGCTTCTGGGTTCTTCATTTCTGCCCTTGTCTGATTCCCAGCTGGAGAATATTTGGGATTCAGCGGTTGAAGCCAGAGGCTGAAAAATGAGGACGAGATGTGCAGCTCAGAACAAGCTCTTTGTTAGAGAACAGCTAAAACCAAAGCCCCATTGAGAGCACAGCCAACAGCAGATTCTGTACAGAGAGACAGAAAAATACAAGGCTCAAGAACAAGTTCAGAGTTCAGTGGGCGCTAGGCCAGAAACAGGGCATTGTGGGGGAGGGAAAAGAGGACTCATACCCAAATCAAAGTCATACAATGCAGTTTGGCTGTAGGTGGAGCAAGTTACTACTAAAAAAAAAAGAAGAGCAAAAAAATCACGATAGCGTCTTGGAAAGAAAAAAATGTGATAACACAGGTATAAGTTCACGCTGAGAAAGTGGATGGAAATTCAAGCATCAAATCATATAGAAAAAAATTTTCTCTCCTCATTTAAAACTCCACAACGTGTTCAAGTTTGCAGTCTCTTTATCTCCTGCAGGGACAGGCTATAGGTGTGCTACTTAATAATAGCTTGAAAGTCAGTAAGCACCGAATATCTGGGTCCTTATAGGTTATCTATATTTCTGTATCTGAATCATGTTATTACAACTTCTGAATGTTTGAAAACCAGTTTAGGGGCATTTGGCTTATTATATAGTCTATATTTTTTAGTGGAAACTTGGCTAGTCACATCTGTATTCTTCTGAGTACTTATGGGGACTTTCTGATTAAAGAAGGTGCCAATATGTTGCTGTGAGACCTATTTCTGTTTCACAGAAAGAGCATAAGTGATTGTGCCTTTTAAGTAGATTTGAGGGCACTTAATTTATTACCTTACCAGTGAATGTATGGAGCTTGCCAGAACAGCCGCAGCCCTTTACCCAGAATAGCTGTAATCAGCCTTTGGGTGCCATCTCATCTTTTAAAGATGTTTACACAGATCTAATTAAATTATGAGAACACATGGACACAGGGAGGTGAACATCACACACTGGGGCCTGTCTGGGGGTGGGGGGTGGGGGAGGGAATGCATTAGAAAAATATCTAATGTAGATGATGGGTTGATGGGTGCAGCAAATCATCATGGCTCGTGTGTACCTATGTAACCAACCTGCATGTTCTGCGCATGTACGCCAGAACTTAAAGTATAATAAAAAATATTTTAAAAAGAGAAAAATGTAGAAACTATAGATAAGCAATAACTGCCCAAATCACTATCAATATCTTGGTATATGTACAGTCCGTTTTGCTATAATATGATATAAGCATTCCTAAAAATCACCATACTGTACAAAATTGTGCAATGAAAACCACAGGACTTACGGAAAAATGTAATTACGGTAAAATACTCAAAACTTCATAATCACCCACAAGGAACAAAAAAAAGATCAGAGTCTAACAAAAATGGTAGCACACTTTTACGTGTTACATGGTTAAGACATACATAAACACTAAAATGAATATGGTGTTTTACCTTGAAAAAGACCTGAAACTTGTTTTGAAAATTATGCATTGGAAGATTTGCAAACGGCAAGTTACTTTAGCTTGTTGAAATACGGGTTATCTGACATCAGACAGAAGGCTGTAATATGACACATGGGTGTCATGGTCCACAACACATAGGTGAAGGGAGGGTGCTGCTAAAAGTGGTGTGTGCATTTTGTGCATCCTCAGCCTTTCACCTTTTCAGTTCAGTTTTTTAAAGTTCACCTACAGTTTTTCACTGAATAAAGTCACATATGAGCATAGGTACTATGCTCAAAATATTTTTTAGTTATTAATCACGTTGGAACAAATTTAATCTCAAAGCACATGTTACAGCAGAACTGACTGTCCTTTCAGACCATTCCCATTACAAATAAATACATATGGTTATTAATTTTTAATAAAAGTGGCTGGGCATGGTGGCTAACGCCTGTAATCTCAGGACTTTAGGAGGCTGAGATGAGCGGATCAAGTGAAGTCAGGAGTCTGAGACCAGCCTGGCCAACATGGTGAAACCCCGTCTCTATTAAAAATGTAAAAATTAGCTGGATGTAGTGGCAGGCGCCTGTAATTGAGCTACTAAGGAGGCTGAGGCAGGAGAATTCCTTGAACCTGAAAGGTGGAGGTTGCAGACAGTAGAGATCGCATCGATGCACTCCAGCCCGGGCAACAGAGCAAGACTCTGTCTCAAAAAAAAAAAATTAATAAAAATGATCATATTAGGCATAACGTTTTATTACCTTCTTTAAAAAAATTTTGGAAATTAACAATATGATACATTATGAGAGAAAAAAATCCAAACAAATTAGCTACATATCAAGTAAAAAGTTACAACATCCTTTCTTCTCAGCAAGTATGCACACCTTCACTTTCATTTCACAGGGATAACATATCCTCTTAGTGGGGTTTTTCCATATCTGTTTTTCTCCACAAAGTGGTTATTATCGTTGTTATTATACAAATACATTTCTATATACACATAATGGTTCAGTTTTTCAATGGACCACATCAAACATAAGATACAGCAACTTTCCTCTTGCAGTCAATAACTTATCAGGAACTTTTTTTTTTTCAGTATATGGTTAAACAGGTATATACTGTTTTTGTTTTTACTGGCTGCAGAAGTGTGTCTGTACATGTCAATCAGCAACACTAAATTATTTTTAACTTTTTAAAGCAGAGGCAATTTTATGCAAAAAGTTGTTACACAGATGATGGGAGAAGTAAAAAGCGAAGCAGGAAAAAGGAGGTAATCTAGAGATTGGTACCAATAAGAAGCCACTAGCATTGTTAAACTGTAGGGACAAACGGAGAAGGCAGAGAAGGGGCTGTACCTTCCATGGGAAATGCTCTTGCTAGACAAATCATTTTTGTCTAGGGAAAGTTGGAACCACAACCGGCTTGTCTAGCAAGGGCATTTCCCATGGAGCAAAGCCAATCAATGCCAGCAATAATACCCATGGCAGAGAGGGAAGAGAAGTACTATGGCTTTTCCCTTCTTGCTGCTGACCAATCTCTCAATAGTACTTCCCGTTAGGCTATGACATGGTTTGGATTTGTGTCCCTGCCCAAATCTCCAAGGCCAGAGGAGGGGCCTTGTGTTAGGTGATTGGCTCATGATGGTAGATGACCCTCTTGCTGTTCTCCTGATAATGAGCGGATTCTCGAGATTGGTTGTTTAAAAGTGTGTAGCACTTCCCTCTTCTCTTCCTCCTGCTCTGGTCATGTAAGACACGCCTGCTTCCCCTTCTACTGTGACCGAAAGTTACCTGAGGCCTCCCTGGCCATGTTTCCTGTACAGCCTGCAGAACAGTGAGCCAACTAAAACCCCTTTCTTTACAATTACTCCTTCAGGTAGTTCTTTATAGCAGTGTGAGAATAGACTACCACAGACTAAATGAGTCAAAAGCCAGTTGAGAGAGAAGGCTAGAAAAAGCAGCCAGCTAAAGATCATCTCTTACTACACAAACCACTGAAGGAGAGAGGGAGGGAGGAATCAATTTATGCAAAAAGTCAACCACGAACCAACACACCATTTTAACTTATTTAATTACTCCTCTATTGTTGTGGATGTTAATATAGTTTTCTATTTTTAACTAATAAATTAAAGGCAGCAACAAACATTATCGTATAATATAGTATAACATACATTTTGCACATTTTTGGGTTACATAGATTCCTAGCAGTGGAATTATGCTATGAAGAGTATGTAAAATTTACACTTCAATAATTGCTGCCAAATTCACCTCCCAATTGCCTTTCCCTCCACACTCTTGCTAACACTGACTCCTATTAATCTTTCATAATTTTTAGCCAAATAGTTAATGGAAAATTGGTATCTTGTTTTAATTTGCATCTCCCTAATGACACTGAACATCATTCAGTACATTTATTAACCTTTTTGGTTTTTAAAATAAAATTTATTTTTTAGTATGAGCGGCACATTATTTTCTTTGTCATTATTTATAGGCCATTTGTATTATAAATATATAATTCTATATACAGTATATATATTCCTATTTATGTGGCAAATATTTTCACATTTCATTTCAACTAGTTATCTATATGTTGTCATAGTGCTTTTGTAACTTTGTGTGTGCTGTTATCCTTTGTTTTATTACTTCTGCTTTTGGATCTTGCTTAAGAACATTTTCCTTGCCAGAATTCTGTAAGAATAATCTTCAGATTTTCTTTCTGGAATATTTAAAGAATCTCTGTTGTTTCTATTATCTGGAATGTAGTTTTACATATGGTATGTAGTAATTATTTGACTTGGTACCTTGCCTTTATGGATCACAGTTCTTCCCATATCTTTAGTTAATCAATACTTTTCCTCCTATTCTATGTACCTGTACTATTTCCAGGCTCTTCATTCAGCTCTATGAATGTTTTTATCTAATGCTAGTAACATTTGTCTTCATTATTGTACCATCGTAATAAATTCTGGTGACTTGTAGAACAATTCTGCATGCTTGAATTTTATTTCTAAAAAATATGAAGCTGTTTTCACACATTTACTTGTGTAAGTGTTTAGACTAAACTTCAAAGACTCCTACTGGCATTTTAATTGGAACTAAATTAAATTCATGGATTAATATGGAAAGGATTGACATCCGAGGCACTCAACAAATTTGAATGAATGAATGTTTATACTAGATCATTTAAACTTAATTTTATGACTAAATGATGTCAATGCTCACTTCTAATACCTCTATTCTTTATATCTTCCATTCTTTTTTTTTTTTTTCCCCTTGTACTGTTGTAGATTGTAAGTAGTTTTCAGGAGAGTACATGTATAATTGCTTATCTTACCATAATTTTTTTCTTGCCTATATATGTGAAAGATAAGTTAGCTAAATATACACTTTTTGGTTCAAATAGTAATTATTTCAAAATTAGGCTGGGCATGGTGGCTCATGACTGTAATCCCAGCACTTTGGGAGGCAGAAGCGGGCAGATCACCTGAGATCAGGAATTCAAGACCAGCCCGGCCAACATGGTGAAACCCTGACTCTACTAAAAATACAAAAATTAGCCAGGCATGGTGGCAGGCACCCGTAATCCCAGCTATTCAGGAAGCCGAGGCAGGAGAATCACCTGCACCTGTCAGAGGTTCAGGAGGCAGAGGTTGCAGTGAGCCCAGATTGCACCATTGCACTTCAGCCTGGGGGACAAGAGCAAGACTACCTCAAAAAAGACAGAAAGAAAGAAAAGAA